CAGGCCTGGGTGATGTTCGTCTATTTTAAGAATTAAGTTATGAAGGACTTTGGAGATAAAATTGTTTCATGTATGTAAATTTGCTTCTTGAACTTTGTTTGAATCTTAACTTTCAAATGATAAATGTTCAGGTAGGACCCAAGCATTGGTTAACAATTGTGGAAATTATTAAGTATCTTAATCGAAAGCATCTGCTTTTGAAAGAATATCAAATGATATGAATAGTTTTCTAAAAGATGTGTGTATTAAGAAGAACTAGTAAAGAAAACCAACTCCAAATAAAGCAGTCAGGTTTTCAAGGAGTGGCTGGAACTGTGGAAGAAACAAAAAGAAATGGCAGAACTGTTCATCCTGTAGACATTGCCCGTGTTACATGAAAGAGCACTGGACCTTGAAGACCATATATTATAACCCTAAGAGTAAAAAAGAAGGTGAGATTGTGGCGATTTAAAAGTGCATTAAGAGAGTTGAAAAAAGTAGTTGGATATCAAGACACATTATTTTCTAGAAACAATTCAGAGTGACAAGAAGAAAACATGGTTATCAAGGGCCTTAAACAGACAAATATGTTGTTCAAAGAGTGAAGTTTGTTTGTTGTTTGTTTTTTCTATAGAAGAAAACTCATTTTAAAACTAAGCCTCTGATATATTTGATTTATTAGATACAAAAAGGCTTAAAATAAGCCTCTGATATATTTGATTTATTAAATATTACACACCACCATCAATAAACAGAAAAATTGTCCCTCATGATTCTCCATCATAGAGATGTTTCGCATATTAAATAAATATTTGTTGACTTTATTTATTCCTACCTTTATTTATTCATTGCAATTAGCAAGTATAGTGAGCACCTTCTTGTTCTAGGTGTTGGTGAACAAAGTAGACACAATTCTTTCTTAGTTTACAATCTAATGGGAAATTTATCTATTTAACAAATATTTATGCAAATGTTAGGGTTAGTGTTAGAGTTTGGGCTAGAATGCACATATACAATTATGCATTCTGATAGTGCTTTTAGAAGGGAAAATATCATGGGGATGATTCCGGGGGATTATCAGAGGTAGTTTTATTTTAGGGAAGGACTGAAGGATGGATTTATTGAATTAGCGACTCAAGAGATGAGAGGTGGTGATGGGGCTAGGATTTGAAGGCATTGAAAAGGGTTGGGAATATGACTTCACAGGCAGAAAGAGAATTCCCACTGGAAGCTATGAAATATTAAAATGTACTTGCTTGGTGCTTGGAGATTTTAAAGAACTAAAAGATCAGTGTAAAACTTAGGTAATTAATTACTCATCAAATGCTCTACCTATTTTGATCCCATTGTAGTCCTTTCTTGAACATTTCCTGAATGTAAGCGATAATCCTGTGACCCAGTCTAATTTTAAAGGGAGGAAATGTGATTTTGAGTCAAATGGCAAGGCTAATCCTTCCTGTAGGCACCAAATTTGTCATATGTTCATGGTTTTCTGTCATGTCATTGGCTGTGGCTACAAGCTGGGCAAATTGTGATTTGAAAGGGGAGATGGGGGTGATTGACAGTACTGTTGGTGGGACTAGGACTGTGTGTTCTTGTCCAAGATATTGCTGTGTATGTAGATACCAATAGGGAATTTCACAAATGGGGAAAATGCTTTTACTTGGTACCAATAGGGAATTTCACAAATGGGGAAAATGCTTTTACTTGGTACCAACAGGGGATTACACAAATGGGGGAAATGCTTGTACTTTCTATTAAATGTATAACTTACTTTTACAGTATTAAATATCATGAATAATCAGGTTTAACACTGAAAGTATTAGAAGAAGGAAGGTCTAGTTCTTAAACAACTATATACTTACCATTTATTTATACAGTATATACAGTGTCTAACATTTTATGTATTTACTGTATATTTATTTCAGAGATTCACAATACATACTGGAAGGTTAAAAGTACTGATAATAGTGCAGAAAGAAATCTGTTTTCTACTAGTGTTCTTTAGTTCACATTCTGAGGAAAGCTTGGCATTAGAGTAGTCTGGTTGCCAGCAGAGCTTGACATTGACAGTCCTCTTTAAACATATTTGCCTGCTTCAGATCCATGAGAACCATGTTTTTTTCCTGTCACTTCGAATATTTTCTAGAAAATCATGTGTCTTTATATCTAACTACTTTTTTTCTTGAAAGAATCACCACTTAAAAGGTTCCATATCCCAACATTGTTGCACTGGGGATTGAGTTTCCAACATATGAACTTTGGGGGAGACATTCACATCATGGCTGACACCTTTGCTTTTTTCCATGGGAGGTGGGATAGGATGGGATGTTAAACCATGGCATATGTTGCTGTCACTCCTTTAATTCTCTGTATTTGTGTTTGTATGTAGGTATGTTAATGTTGTTTGTGTTCTTGAGAGTGACATAAAGTAAACTAACAAAGTAGAGTGAATGTAGAAATACTGCTATCTTAGGTAAATTTCAGTTCTGTGACTGCTCAGAGAATATTACTTGCTGTGTTCTGTTGGAGGATCTGACCACTGGAAATTGGAAAATGAAAATAAGCAATTTTCACTAAGTTTTCCATGTTCCTAACAGTAGCAATTGCTTTTAATATTCCACAAATAAATATTGTACTTCCCTGTCGTTTTCTCCACTTAAAATTTGTAGTCAACATAGATGATTTTCTAAAGAAGCTAGATGGTTAGAATTTTGGCTGCATTATTTTCTCTGAAAAAATTGGATGAATTTTTCATAGTGACTACCTACATTAACTCTTTCAGTAAAAAATTTGTACATAATACAGTGACTCTAGACAGACACAATTTTGCACTAGGATCAAAAAAGCGTGAAAGTTTCTATCGTATATTTATTTATATGGTGCATTGAAACTATATAATACTTTAGATATTGCTGCTTTGAGTAACATTTTCCTTATATATAGTTTGCACATTTGTCTTTTAAGTTTAAATCTGAACCACTAATCTTTAAATGCCTGTGCTTTGAAAAATGAATTTTTAAAAATCCAGTCTAGACCATGAATGAATTAATGAATCTTTTCTAAAAACATAAATTAGTCAAGGTGAATGATAATTTTATAGTTAGTTACAAATACATAGTGAATATATACATCTCATGGGCTCCAGCCTGGGACTCATGTCCTTGTTCCAAGAATAATACTTGGCAATATCTTGGCCCTGGAATGATATTCATTTGCTTTACTGGTCTACTGCTTCACTTGCCTGTCATTAGAAAAGTGGATTTCTGAATTTCTGTCTCATGACGATTATAGACAAGTTACAATTTGAAGATTCTTTAATTTGAAGTTAGGTGATATTTACATGCCCATTAAGTTAATGAGAGTGAAGATCTCTATGTATTTCCCTACTAAGTCTTCTTGCCTGCAAAGACCCCTCCCTGACATTCTCACAATATAAATAATTTTTTGACATCTGTCTCTTGCCCAATGCAGTCATTTTACCTACTAATAAAAATTCAACTCATCCAAACTTTTATTTTATTGTCTTTCTTACGTCTTCAGTATTTTCCTACCTTACTAATTTTAAAGAGTTGGCTAGCAAAGTTCAGGTTTTCTTTACTTTAAATTTGGGTTATAAAACATGTAAGAAGAAAATGGCCAAATTATATCATCTGCTAAAAACAAGTTAAAATGAAAACTGCAAAAAAGAAAAATCAGGGACTATAGATCTATTCTATAAGCCCCACAATACCAAATCTGCTTTTAGAATCAAAATTACTTTTGAAAGTACTTTAGAATATTTTGTGGAAAATATTGGTAATTTACCTTAGTAAAAGATGTGCATTGAATATACCAGAATAGCTGAAATGGAACTGAGCAGCTCTAACTTATTTATCATACCGGGACATATGTTGCATGCTCATATACATATTCATTATGCTTCAAATGTAGTAAAATGGTGTCTTGTGAATAAAGCATTTTACATTCTATTTTATGCATTGAACAATTTTACACTTATTTAAAAACACAGAAGGTCTAATTTTTTTTGCTTGATTTTTTTTTTTAAATTTTGACCATTGGAAATGGGCAGCTTACTAAAGAGTACTCAGAACAGAAACGGGCACAGGAGGAGTTAAAAATCAAGAAATTGTTTAAATTTACTCTCTAAATAATTTTATTAAAATATTTAATATTTTAAATGGGTGCCAGTATTAATATAAAATAACAAACTACTTATTTCCTTATTTTGCCATTCTGAATTCATGGAGACATTTTTAAAGAAACCAATATTTTCCAAGAAACAATTTTGACATCAAAAGATAGAGATATTAGGTCAGGTATAGTGGCTCACACCCATAATCCCAAAACTTTGGGAGGCTGAGGTGGGCAGATCACTTGAGGTCAGGAGTTCGAGACCATTCTGAGCAACATGATGAAACCCCATCTTCATTAAAAATACAAAAGATTAACCAGGCCTGGTGGCACGCTCCTGTAGTCCCAGCTACTCAAGAGGCTGAGGCACAAGAATTTCTTGAGCCCAGGAGATGGAGGTTGCAGTGAGCCGAGATTGTGCCACTGGACTCCAGCCTGGGTGATAGAGTGAGATTCTGTGAAAAAAAAAAAAAAAAGAGAGAAAAAGATGTTAATGTAATATTAGCTACATAGTTTTCTGAATCTTGCAATAATTTGTAAAGTTTGCCTGCACACCAGCTTTAGGTTACCACACATAATAAATTGAAAAAATATTATATTTTACATACAAACATCCAAAGTATATCCAAATGTTCAGCAAATGTGGCTGCCATTTTAAAAGCCAAATGTTTTAGCAGAATATACTTGTTCTGTGTATGTACAGACAGAAAATTAAACTTTGCAATTTTCAACTTATAAACAGGAGCATTAGAGTCTAAGCCTTAAATATATAAAACAAATACCGTTCACACTTAATTTAAAATATATTAAACTTTGAACACTTTATGTAAAACTATGAATAACTTCATAAGCCATACAAATGTCAACTGCATTTTAAACATTTAAAATTTTTTTTTTTTGGGCAGGCACTATTCTCTTTATTTTACAGACGAGGAAGCTGAAGTGCAGAAAGATTAAGTAATTTGAGTAATGTCATCCAGCTTGCAAGTGTCAAAGATGGCATTTGAACCCAGACAGCCTGGCTCCAGCATCTGGACTCTTACAGTCTCCAATCTCTAAAAGGAGAGGAAGGAACTTATATGACAGTCTACTGGGAATTTTCTAGAAACCAGATATCTCTGCCCTACAGGCAGAAGGTACAACAGGGAAACAAGAATGGGGCTCAGAGGCACCCCTGGTCCCCTCACCATCACCTGCTGAGACAGAGAGCCTCCCTTGGCCATCCAGGAAGAATCTAGAAGTTATCACTCAAAACCACTTTACTGGGAGAGCAAACATCAGGAGGCAACCTTCTAGAGGCTGCTGAGCTTCAGACCTCAGGAAGTGGAGGCCTCAGGCCCATGATCTATTCGGAAAAGACTAGAAAAAGGCTCCAGGGCCAAGCCACCCTCTGTTCCTCAGACACTACCCTGAGTTGCAAGTCCTATGGCCATCTTTCTAGGTTGAGGCCTGGCCCGTGGAGTCACAGGGAAGGTCCGTGGGCCCCACAGCCTGATCTTCAGAGATGGTCCCGTGGGGCAATTCTGTATACTTGCGGGAAGAGCTGCGGGCCAGATGGGCTGGGTAGCGTCGCCGGTTGATGTCCATTTTGGAGAGCACTGCTTGGGGCAGATCCACGCGGCAGCGGGCTGCTAATGCCACCAGGTAGATGAGGACATCACTAAGCTCCTCTTGAAGGGCAGCCCGTTCCCTGGAGGACCAGCCTTGGGGGCCAGGCTGCCCATCGGTTTTCCACTGAAAGAGTTCTGCCAGCTCCCCCACTTCCCCGACCAAGGCCAGGAGGAGGTTCCGAGGCTGATGGAACTGTTCCCAGTCTCGTTCAGCAGCAAACTCAGCATGGAGGCGGCGGATGTCCTCGAGCGTGGGCTCCGGGCTGAAGCTGAACCGACCCGCAGCAGCAGTGCCCTCGCCCCCCGTGTCCCCAGGAGTCTCTAAAATTTTTTTTTTAAATTGTAAACTAAACCATGACAGTTTAGTTATATGAATGATAAATAACTTTTTATTTGCACTTTATTCACTTGGTAACAAACAGGAAATGATTTGGTTGTATGTTGCTGCGTTATGACTCTGATGGTATTTTCTGTCCCAAGGATAATAGAATTCAGTGAATCAGAATCAGCACCTTACTATGGGTTTTGCTATCCGTTCTCTCTGTTACTAAGATCCATTTTCCAGGCTCCGTCATCCACTTTGTTTCTATCATGGCATGAACGGTTTTGTTCTGCTTTAGCATCCGCCTTTGATTTCTGCTTATTTTCTTTTTTCTTTCTCTTTTTTTTTTTTTTTGGGAGACGGAGTTTCGCTCTTGTTACCAGGCTGGAGTGCAATGGCGCGGTCTCGGCTCACCGCAACCTCCACCTCCTGGGTTCAGGCAATTCTCCTGCCTCAGCCTCCTGAGTAGCTGGGACTACAGGCACGCGCCACCATGCCCAGTTAATTTTTTGTAGTTTTAGTTGAGACGGGGTTTCACCATGTTGACCAGGATGGTCTCGATCTCTTGACCTCGTGATCCACCCGCCTCGGCCTCCCAAAGTGCTGGGATTACAGGCTTGAGCCACCGCGCCCGGCCACCAGATTTCTGCTTATTTTCTTTCACTTCATTTTTCTTGTCCATTTCTGGTAGCTTCTTTGCTATTCCACTTTGAGGAGTTTAGACAGCTTCACCCTCAGTCACTTCAACAGTCTGTGTATTTGGTTCAAACTGTCAGGCAGTTTCTCCCGATTCTTCTGTTCCCGGCATCTGAGATTCCTCAGCATGGCCTGGTTGTTAGCGACCGCTGCTGCTGCTGCTGCCTCGCCCCTGTGCTTCTGTCAGGCAGCGGTACCAGCAAGGCCAAGCTGAGCACAGCAGGAACCTCAGCAGCTGCCCAAGCACCTGAGCCTGCAGGTCCGCCCAGCCTGGGGATGCCTCAGCTCCAGCCCTGGGTCAGGTCCAGCTCAGCATGTGGAACGTTGAGGCCAATCGGATTGTTTTCTGAAGCCAATCAAGTCCTCCTTGGCCTGGGGCCAGTTTTACTCACCATTTCCCTGCGGTCATTTTCCCTTTTGTCAGAGGTCACACAGGACAGCGCAGAGGCACAGAATCAAGAGAGCCAGACCAACCGCTGCTGCTGCCTGGAGGGCAGAGAGGCCCAGGTTTCTCCAATCAGCCTCACTCTGTTCCAGAAGGACAGGAGGAAACTGTTTTCTAAAAAACCAAAATTATGGAGTAGAATTTTGAGATCTTACTAAATTAAGTTTTCGTCCCATTTTTTTAACCTTTGCCTTTCAAATTATGCTCACCTCAAGTCAGATTTTATGTTCCAGTCTCACGCAACAATTTCCATGTAATTAAAATGATCACAACTTTAGAAACTAATAATTTTATTTCGCCCAAGAGTGCTGGTTTAACATTAAATTTTCAATAGTACTTCCTAAATCCAAGTTAATTCTTTTCTATTTGATTTTATTAACTAAATTATGGTAATATACTACTACTAATAGCAATAATACAGTCTTGATTAGCATAGCTTGACAGTTAACAAAGGGCATGTCTTCACTCATTTAACTGATAAATGTGTGTTGAGCACACACAGTGTGTCATGCTTTTTTGCCAGGCTTAGAAAATGAAATGAAGAGAAGAGAAAGTCTTGGTCTCTATTCTCATGAAATTTTCAGACTGGCTTCATGAAATCCTCATGCATTCCTGTGAAGCGGATATTTTTGAAATTTTTTATTAACTTCTACCCCAAAGTAACCATTATCTAAACTTTGTGTTGTAATTTACTCCATGCAGTTTTATCTGTGGACAATATACTTTTCAATGTTGCCTGTTCTTTGCCTTTATATAAATGTAAATTTACCTTGTTTTCATCTGTGACTTGCTTTTTTTCATTCATAACTTTTAATTCTTTTATGTTCCCTGGCATAGCTATAGTTGTCTGTTTCACTGCTGCATAGTGTAGATATACACCAATTTATAAATTAATTCCACAGCTAGTAAATATTTGTAACCGTCAATAATCTCATATCTT